TACTTTTTTTTTTTTTTCCAGACTTCTTGAGAAGGAAAAAAATCATGCTTCTAAATATAAAGTGTGTCTACTGCAGAGTCACTTTTAAGTATGGTGGAGTGTAAGACGGGGTGGGGGGTGGGGGGCAGTAACCTAGCAGTTAAGTGGCTCAGAGATAGAAGGAAAAGCTTCCAGATCTCTCTCCACTCATGCCCATATTTTTACCATTTCTACTCGTATATGCGTTTAGGGGATATGGTGACCTTACACAAGGTTAGTATCCCAAAATCTGTTTCCTAGAAGTCCACTTGCACAAAAAATATTTGCAATCTTCTCATTACAACGGTTGTTTTCATTATCATGATTAAAGGAAAATTCCTCTAATGAAACTTCATTTCCTCCAAGACACTTGTCACTTATGTTTCCAAATCAAATACCAATTAACAAAAGGAAAAAAAAGAAAAAATATCCACCAATCTCAAAAGTATCAAAAGCATCTTCTATTGAAGTTGAGTTCACAAACACCCAAAATTGTTAACTCCACGTCTTTGGATGCATAGTACTGATAAGCTAGTTTACAGAGCCAGGCCAGGAGAGTACATGGCCAAATTCTATAGCACGCTGTTCTGTATATCACATATTATAAAAGGCTCCCAGAAATCCCGTAGAGGCCTGCTGACATTGGTTTAAACTGTTTTCTAAACTCACTTGACCAGAATCTGTTACCTGCTAACGCTAAACTATCAAGTGACCTTTGATAATTGCTGGTCTGTCTGCATCCTACAGACTAGTTCAGAATCCTATTAAAGATATGAAACCACCATGCTTTTAGTGGTCCCCTGACTCTTGGTGACTCTGCTTTAAGAGATCATAAACCAGTCATGTGGTATTGATCTTGTGACTTCCCAAGAAGATAACTTGACTTTCTTCCTTTGAAAAGTAGGGTATCTGCCGTCTCTCACCTCTGAGCACTTTATACAGGTTGAGCATTCCAAATCCAAAGATCCAAAATTTGAAATGCTCCAGATCTGAAATGTTTTGTGCACTGACATGACACTTAAAAAGAAAAAAAGCTAATTGGAGCATTTCGGGTTGTGGACATGCTCAGGGGAAAGTATAATGCAAATATTCCAAAATCAAAGAATAAACAAACAAAAAATCGAAGCACTTTGGGTCTCAAGCGTTTTAGATATAAGGGATATTCAAGCTGTACCTTCCCAAGGTTTAGTAACAGCAATGTGATGGCCTCGCCAATCAAGTTTTTCTTTTTTCTTAATTCACAGAGAATCTTTTCATTCATCGACCAAGTTCTTAATGGGAATTCAGGAGAACGGATATTTTGAAGCATCTGAGGGAAGAAGATGCAAAGCCTCATCACTTTGGTAACTCGCAACTTGAAAGTCATCAATCAGATACATACAGTGACCCTCTCAAATCAGTGTCTTGCCATGAAGTGTGTGCCAGAAATACCTGAGAAAGTCTTTGAAAACCTATGGCACCACTGGGGTTGAGACCCTGGGTCCATGCAGCTTGAAAATCTCTCTGGGTGATTTTAATGTACACTTCTAGATAAAAGTCCTAGTTTTGGATACTATCCTCCCAAGGACAATTTAAATATAGCCATTTATGAAAAGGATGGTCTACAGACCTCAAAGCTTTTACAGTTTCTGAGTGTTTCAGGCTATGTGTCTACAGCATCCTTGAGGACTGTGTACCCTGGTTTCCTTCTGGGTATTTTAGAGTATGCTCCCATGACCCCTTGGTCTAATCAGAATTAGGATAGACCAAAGGCTACTTTCCCCCACTGCTTCCACTTGAACAATTCTCTCTCTACAAGCAAGTTTAAGTTTTAGAACAGCAGTTTTCATAATGCTTTTCCTTCTTCCCGAGAGGAGGAAAATAACAAATGTACCAGAAGCTCCTGCTGGAGACAGGTAGTACATTTTCTAGCAGATGCATCTCTTGGTACAGCCTGGTCTTGCCTCTGTGCACCCAGTTGCCGTAAACTTTTTACGTTCACTTAACTACACAATCTGCATTTGCCCTCACGATCGCCTCCCTCTTGCCCTTAGAGATCCACAGAGCAGGAGCTGGGCTCAGTGGCTCAGCCTGTAATCCCATGCCTTTGGGAGGTTGAGGTGAGTGGATTGCCTGAGCCCGCGGGTTCGAGAATCGCCTGGGCAGCAAGACCTCATCTCTACAATAAATCAAAAAATCAGCCGGGTGTGGTAGCACATGCCTGTAATTCCGGCTACTCGGAAGGCTGAGGCGGAAGGATCGCCGGAGCCCAGCAGGTCGAGGTTGCGGTGGCCGGGAGCGGCCACTGCACTCCAGTCTGGGCAACAGAGTGAGACTCCAACTCAAAAAAAAAAGAGATCCACAGAGCAGCCTTGTTAATCTTGGGTCTCTGCTGGACGTGCAGCACTGCTGCCCTGAATCGGTTCTCGGTTCTCCTTCTGACCTAATGGGTCCCTCCCATTGTACTCTACTACCTTTACTCTAGTTTTGAACTCTTGGGCATACATATTAAAATATGTTCTTTATTATTCCTATGTAGTAACTCGTCTGAAACTTTTTAAGCACAGTTTTTGATTTCTGGGAAATTAAACTCCTTATTCTTTTTGACACTGTCTTACAGTCTTCAGAGATCATAGACAGCTTTTAAAGAAAAAAAAATACGAGATTTATTTTGGTGACTTCAACCAAGATGTAATTTAGGTAATCATTTTATGCTTTCAAATAAAACCTCCTACACTGAAATGACTTAGAGTTTAAGCATAGGTAACTACGCAAAGAAAAGCGAACTCTTTTAGGCTCATGTGAACTTGAAATACCACCACCAGCTCTCGGCTGCCTAAAGTAGGACAGCAACATTGAAGGCAGGGGACCAGCAGAACACCGGCCCTGCTCCTGAACTACCAGGAGCTGAGACACATACAAATTTCATGGCGAGTAACATAAAACTCTTCTAAAAACGATCAACCGTTATTCTATCCGACAGGAAAACCAATACAACAGATCTGTCTAATTAGTTAAGACACCAGATACTTGTCATGCAGTTTCAGTGTCTAGTAACAAACCTCTAGACTTTAAAAGTTCTGTTTCACAACTTCTAAGCACAAGGAACACATTTTAAAAGGTGGATACCACTGTAAGCGACATAGAAGTGCCACAGTACACAACGGTCTGGTGAATATGCACATACACCAAAGATTCTCAAGCCTAGATTTGAAGCTCAGCCTGGCAGCCTCCAAAGATTTCAATATATACGAGTATATTGCAAAGTCATCAGCATAACTTCCACAGAAAACATTTCACCTGGGGAGAAACACCACCCAATGACTGAGCATTCTACCTCTAGAAAGTTGACATACATCAATCTGTACTTTTTACATCAAAATATAACTGACTTGAGCTGGCTCAAGGGACAAAGTGTATTTCTATCTAATCAAAAATTATCCAAGTGAAAAATGTAACCATAGAAATTAAAACAAAAATGAGTCTGCATTTTAGAATAGTTTTTTTCAGTACCTTTACATTCTGACAAGACAATTCATTTAAAAAGTCAAATATGCCAATTTTGCTTATTGCTATTAGAAATTGAAAAAAAAAAACAATTTCCATTTTTTGGTCCTAGATTGATTAGAGTCAAAAGCATTTTTCCATATTCAGTAAATAAAAGATGGTTTCTCTCACTCATGCCAGCTCTGGAATGTCTCTCTTCTCTTCTTTCTCTAATAAACTTTGTTTTGAAAAGAAAAATAATAATAATAAAGTTAAACTCTTATTTTTCATATCTGAACTAATTAAGATATCTGAGCCTAAGATAACAGCTCTAAGTCATTACTAAAAAAAAAAAAAATCAGAAATAACAAATATTAAGATAGCTCATAGAAACAAATCTTTAACTGATACCACTAATGGTGACCCACCTTAAGCTGACATTTTAATATTTCACTTACTGAGTGTGTCTCAATAGACGTTTTTTGGTTGTTGTTAACATTCCTGTTGCCCCAAACACATCCATCATTAAATTCAAGACAATAGCCTAAAAGGTTGGTGGCAATGCCAGAGATGGCCAAATTAGAAATAAAATAATTGCTGATGTTAAAAATGGCCTTCTTTTTATTCTTAACCATTTTTTATATACGTGTAGTTAAATCAATTATTTAATAAAAAAAGACTTTAAAATATATGTATATTTCAAGTCTCAAAGTTAATTTGAAAGAAATGCATACCATTTCATTTGAAAAATAATGACTAATTTCTGCAGATATATGCAAGATCCCTACACAAGTTGTAAAACTATCATCAAAACCATCACATTTTAGTACTTTCAAAGGGAAATTCAAAGGAGACTTTTGCTGCATTTTGCAACTGACTGAATACAGTACTTTTACATGTAAAAATAATTTACACTGAAAAACTCAAGCAAAAAGTTTGATATTTTGCTTATCGAAGTAACAAGAAGAAAGAGAGCAATGAAAAAATAGCAAAAGCTATTACAAAAAATAGCAAATTCCTATTTCCATCCCTGTGTTTACACAGATTTAAAATGTTTATCAATTAACTGCATCACAAAGATTTAGCATACTTTAAACTATAACATAGAAAGCTAACACGGGATATTTAAAATTCAAGCTGCACTTACCAAAATAGTTTTAACCTGAGTCTTTGACATCTTCTGAAATGCATTTGACAATAATGTATGCAAGTATACTTATTTTTTAGGAGTATAATTCATGGTTTTCTCTTTTTTTTTCTTTTTGGAACTGCTCTTAATACTGCTTCTTTCTGTAAATATTTATTACATCTCTTAAGTTCTCTGGACACGGCATAAATTAAAAAGCTGTTGCTTTTTTTTTTGGCTATACAAGCATGTCTTCATCTTATTTTCATATTTTGGGTTATTTTGGAACAAATGCCAAGGGTCAAAAGACTACCACAGACACGTGAATATTCCATGAGATATGTCACACCCACTGAGGAATTATACAAGTTCACTAAAGAATATCAAATTATTCATTTCCTCCTATAAATATTTTCTTTTTATTTATTTTGTGTTTAGAAGTTGCAATTTTAAGTACTATTAACAGAAAATACATAACAAAAGCTTCCTAACAAGTGAAAAAAATAATTATAAATGCTGAAAAAATTGGCCTCATTAACATATTTACAGACTTTTACTTAATACATACTCCTTTGGAAATCAGTTATATGACATTTATACAAGCATTAAAACTTCCAAGTCACTCTGAGTGGTGAGCACTTCAGTTCCGTACTGTATATATCCAAAGTGGAAACTCATTTCGCGTTTGCAGGCAGGCCCGACAAGCCACAGACACAGTCAATCCGAGACACTGCTGGCTTGTTCAGTCCCCTCGCCTAGAGGTACTTCTGCTGAGCCAGTGTCCTTTTGCTGCCTTTTCTCTTTGCTCTGCTCTTCCTGCAGCTTCAGAATTATGTTTCGAATTTCTTCTCTTTTCGTTCTCATCCTTGGGGGAGGAAACCAGTTTGTCAAGTTCATAGGTAGTTCAAAATTGAGAACTGGATTCTGAAAATAAAAAAATTAAATGCGAATTAGAAAACCATAATAACGGGGCAGATTTTCTTTGAAAACTTGCCCATGGCAGGTCTTTCTGCCATGAAGTTTCCCTTTTCTCTTCTTTCTCTAATAAACTTTGTGTTTGAAAACTTAAAAAAAAAGAAAAAAACCGTCACATTAACTCAATTACATTCAGGCTGTGGATGTGTTCACTAGACAAAAGCAGAACCGAGAGTTGCAAAAGAAACCTGTCCCACCTTTTATATAAAGGCCTGCCAGCTTTAGTCCAAACAGACCAATAGTTCAATAATTGAAACGATGAATATGACAGGTAGGATGACAGAATTATAGAGTACAAGAAAATACATATGGGGGCAACACATGTCCAAGACGTAGTGATGTTTAGGCTAACCCTGAAGAATGAGTAGACACTGGCCAGCCAAGGTATATCGAATAAGAAGCAATAAGGAAGATATTCCAGGTAAGAAAATATGAATCAAGGCTTAGAGACAAGAAAGAACATGACAAACTAAATGACATTCAGGTGGCTGGTATACAAAATGCTAGAGTTGGCCAGGTACAGTGGCTCCCACCTGTAATTCCATTGGTTTGGGAGGTCAAGGTGGAAGACTGCTTAATCCCAGAAGTTCCAGAAAAGTCGGGATAACAAAGCAAGACCCTGACTCTACAAAAAAGCAACAAAGAAGCCAGGTGTTGTGGTGAGTGTCTGTAGTCTCAGCTACTTGGGAGGATGAGACGGGGAGGACAGCTTGAGCCCAGGAGGTTTTGAGGCTACAGTGAGCCATGACTGTGCCACTGCACTCTAGCCTGGACGCAGAAAAAAAAAAAAAGAATGGTACAGTGAAAATGGCGAGAAAATAAGGTCAGAAGCTTGGACAGAGATTAGATCATATAGATGCTTATAAAGTTGTGTGAAAGATTCTAGTCTTTAAATCAACAGCAACAAGAAGCCACATGTTGCTTAAAGCAGGAAAGTCACATGATTTGAGTTGTGTTTTTTGTAGAACAACTGTGAAAAAACAGAAGGTAGGAGGCATAGGAATTAGTTAGAGATTGGTGCAGCTACTTAAGAGTAAGTGATGGGCCAGGCTCGGTGGTTCAGCCTGTCATCCCAACACTTTGGGAGGCCAGGGTGAATGGATAGCCTGAGCCTGCAGGTTTGAGATCAGCCCGGGCAACTTGGCGAGACCTCGTCTCTACAATAAATCAGAAATTAGTCAGACGTGGTAGCATGCACCTGTAGTTCTGGCTACTTGGAAGGCTGAGGTGGAAGGATTGCCGGAGCCCAGAGCGTGCCACTGCACTCTAGTCTGGGTGACAGAGTGAGCCTCCAACTCAAAAAAAAAAAAAAAGTAAGTGATGTCAGCATACTGAAAGTGGCTGCAGGGGAAAAGTAATAAACATATGTGACACGAAATGATAAAACTCCCAGGACTTAGTGGTTCCCCCAATGCACGGCTAGTGAAGAAGGGAGGAGTCAAGACTACTGCAAGAATACCCAAGTGGGGTAGGTGTGGTACTGTCCTCTCAGTCAAAGCAAGAGAATGAGGAAGAAACAGCTGGCAACATCAAATGGTGATGGGAGGTCGAGAGCAACTTTCATACAAGGGGAAGGATAAGGCCAGATGTGAGAGATTCGAGAAGCAAGTGGGATTTGTAGAATTAGAGACAGCGAACATAAATACTTCAAGGAATACATCTGCGAAGAAGAGAAAAGAGGGTAAAAGAGGCAGTCGGCATCTTGGGAGAAATTTCCTAAGGCGAAAAGAGCCAGTGGAGATGGCAAGTTGACTGACAGTTTGACCAGTGACAGAATGAATTCAACAAGCCTTGGATCTGATGAACTATATAGTATTTTTATGCCTTAAAAATTCTTCAATTCAGAAGCTTTTGCTCCCTGGATTAACTGTTAAAACATCAATTTTCAAACTCTTGAAAATATTTACCTACTGTGTTTTATACTAACATAAAGTCAAGTGCAGTATTTTATCATTATATAAGAGCCAACGAACTGAAACCCACCTCAAAAAAGCTCTCCACATACTGCAGCACGTACACGCCACAGTCGCTAAAGTTGTTCTGCTGGGGCACTTTTGGGTTAGAGCCCTTCATAGCATCTTTGGAAAAACTTCTTTTGCTTCCTTTCTTAACTTCCCATTCCACTTCCAGATACCTGCAATGATGCACACATCGCAAGAATACACACATATGTAAATACAGTTTCTCATCCCTACCCGAATACGAAACAGTGTGGGGTACAATTCTGAACTTACTCTCTTAAAATCTTGACAACATTCGATCGAGAAGGGCCTCTGAGCGAGTCCATAAGCAGGATACAAGGTCTGCAGGGTAGAGATGACCAAAAGTCAATCACTTCCTCACGCTACAAAGGCATGAGAAGATTAAGAACTTATAGACACATACAAACACTATAGCCCAATAATATTTAAGTATCTATGGTTACATTAAATATTGAATTATAGAGTATTAATTTAATCGTATCTTAGTTATAAATATTTTATGCTGAAGTTTGACAGCTGGGTCCTAAAAATACTTCAAAATTAGGAGGAAGTCAAAATAATTCTGAAAATTTGAACTTTCCCAAACTCCAAATAAACAAAAGCAGGGCCACAAAAAAGAAGGAAAGTAATCCAATTTTTAACTAAAAGCTACTGTAGACAACAAAGCAGGAAATTAATCATCACATTAGAGACTCAGTTTAGAATGTGGTGCTTGATTGCAAGATTCTGCTTCAGAACACTCTGCGTAACTCAGATTTGACCTTCAACTTCTTAATTCTGAGAAGTTATGTTGTAAGTGCAAGTGAGGAAGTCTAACGTAGTACCAAAGGTCCTGAGATGTTTAAGGATATAGGTTCTTTATTATTAATTTTTATTTTTAGAGACAGGGCCTTATTCTGTCAATCAGGCTGGAGTGCAGTGGCACAGTTATGGCTCCTGTGGCCTTGACCTCCTGGCCTCAAACGATCCTCTCGCCTCAGCTTCCCAAGGCACTGGGATTACAGGCCTGAACCACCACCACGTCAGGCCATGATCTAGGATCTTCCTAGCCAAGATTTTCTGGAATCTAGAGCAGACTCTTTAACTACTCTGTGTCTCTATTCTCCTTTATAAATGATATTAGATTTTCAAAGTCTCTTAAAAGAGTTTTCATCAATATTTTCTGTAAAAAGGTCAGGGGAGATAAAGCCTGGAAAACAGGTAATACTTCACCTGAGAAATCTGGCAACTCTGGAGAGACCTCAGAAGAAACCTGAAATCCAAAGCTGATCACTCTCACCTGGGGTGCCCATCTGGAACATTCCCTTAGGACTTCCTTGAGTCGTTCCACAGTCATCAGGAAGTAGCTATGGGACCCATGTAAACTCCAACCCACTGTTTTGATATACATATACCGAAAGGAAGAGTGGCTCACTACTGAAACATGTGTGCAGCACATAGGCAGACACTAGAAGAGACACGCGGAGGATGACATGACACCATGCCCCAAGTGTCCTCAATGAGTCTGGCAGCATTTATGAGTTTTTGGTAAAGTGTTTGTTTAAACAAAAAATGTCCAGTGATGTCTCTTAAGTGTACTTAAATATTAGCACGTTGTTTACAAGATACATAGTTAATGCTTACTGTTTGCAGATAGTGGGCTTTAAATGCCACTGTCCTATTTCTGAGTTGCAGTTATCATCGGCAAGGAATCCATCATCACTGCTATCATCCTAGAAAAGACAGCTTACTGTTAATACTGAAAATACGCAATATAAACAACTAATAACCTAACAAAATAGCACCATCAGGGACAAGCATCTTTGTAACAAACATGTAAAAAAAACAATTTTCTATTTAGGTGATGAGACACTAGAAAATGTATGTTACCTGATTCCAATTATCTAATGCCATAACACTGACATTTTAATGAAAAGAGACTATCAGAGGTTTATAGAAAATTGTTACATCTACTTACTCAGCCTAGAATAAATTAAAGACTGTATATATTATGACTGATTTTTCTCCCATCAAATATTACTGCTTTGATTTTGTTTATTTTTACAGAGACTTAGTTTGTTGGCTAAGACAGTTGTTTAATAATAGTGCATGAATAACATATATTTACATGAATAATCTTTCACATCAGAAATATTTAAGGGGTTTTTGGAGACACCTTGAGAAAGTCATATATCCACTTCAGCTGAGAGAAAATAACTTAGAAAAAGTGTGTCCTTATTCTGTACAATCTCTTGAATGTAAGACAAACAATGCTTTTTTTGTTCTTTGAGAAAGCATCTGACAACTTTATAAGTGGAATAATTAATAGCAGACAGAGTAGTAATAATAAAGCACCAGTGGATTAACTTGTTCTCATCACAGGTAATTGCTCTAACTAAAGGAGCCTGAGAATGAGAGCTCATTATCAACCAGGAATGCAATCCCTGCATATGTTGGAGAGAGAAACCCTGTTTTACACCCACACATTGTAAACCAAGGGAAATAAAAAAATGGCTTTTGTTCATAAGAAGGTTAAGCAAGAAAGAAAAATGGCACAGTACAGAGCCATGTTTACTACTGAACAACTCGAAGTCTGTTCTAACAACTAAAGGCAGATCACAAAATGAAATAAATGATACACGGTAGAATTCTTATCAACTTTTCCCTCAACATAAAGTCCTCCTTAACTGAAGCTACAAAATATTTTTAAAAACACACTTTATTCTTGGTGTTAGTAATGCTGATTAGGGCAAATGAAATTCTAAGGAAACATGAGGATGTATCTATGTTAACTTTAATATGGTCTGTATGTTATAATACACTCAGTATAAATGGGAAGACAAAAAAAGTCATGGGAAAAGTGAAAAGAACACTTTGTTTTTGTACTTATGCACTACATAACTGAAAAGGCAAACATCCGCCTCTTGTCAAGTTGGACTAAAGGCTAAGCAGGGCCCTGAAATGCACTGTGAAGGAAGGCGGGGGCGGGGTGGTGGCTGGGTGCGGGAGAGGAATTAATGCCACGATCAGGTGGAGTCCACACTACAGCAGCAACAAAAGCAACAGCAGCACTGACACATTCATCCTGGCAATGTGTGTCCTCAAAGTGAATTTGTTTCTTGAGATGTGATCCACATCCATAAGCTGCGGCAAATTACTGTTTGAAGAAATTGCTTTACAAGACTTTAAAGAAAAATCAGCTAGGCATGGTGGTGCGCACCTATAGTCTCAGCTACTTGGGAGGCTGAGGGGGAAGGACTGCCTGAGCCCAGGAGGTCAAGGCTAAGACAGAGTGAGACTCTGATTCAAACCAAAAAAGACTTCAAAGAAAAATTCTTCTTCTTTTTTTTTTTTTTTGAGTTGGAGTCTCACTCTGTCGCCCAGACTGGAGTGCAGTGGCAGCTCCCGGCCACCGCAGCCTCGACCGGCGGGGCTCCGGCGATCCTTCCGCCTTAGCCTTCCAAGTAGCTGGAATTACAGGCGTGCACTACCATGCCTGGCTGATTTTTTGATTTATTGTAGAGATGAGGTCTTGCTGCCCAGGTGGGTCTCGAACCCGCGGGCTCAGGCAATCCACTCACCTCAGCCTCCCAAAGGCACAGGATTACAGGCTAAGCCACCGAGCCGGGCTAAATTCTTCATTTTTTAAGAGACGGGGGTCTCACTGTGTTGCCCAGGCTGGACTTGAACTCCTGGGTTCAAGCGATCCTTCCATCGCAGCAAGTCACTGGAACTACAGGCATGCTGCCAGGCCCAGTAAGAAAAGCTTCTTGTTAGAGAAAACATGAGAACTTTTTGCTAAGCATTAAGTTTACCTGATTATCCTGATCTTCTGAGAAGTCGATGAGTTCTTCTTCAAGCATTTTACCACCTTCAGCTGATTCATCACCATAGCTTAGTCTGATTTTGCTTAAGCCATCTGAATCAATAAAAACATTATATAACAAAAAAGGCCATGCCTATAACTCATAGTATATGATGTTCATGCTAGTCATTAATGATATATTTGTTAAGGATACAAAATATGCCTTAGTAAGTAATATCACAAACATAAAGTAAGTTACTTTAAATAAAAACCTAGGCTGAATGTGGTGGCTCACACCTGTAATCCCAGCACTTTGGGTGGCTGAGGTAGGAGGATCACTTGAACTCAGGAGTCTGATACCAGCCTGGTTAGCACAGAAAGACCTTGTCTCTACAAAAAAAAAAAAAGCTTTAAACTAGCCAGGTGTGGTGGTGTATACCTGTAGTCCTAGCTACTTGGGAGGTTAAGGTAGAAGGATTGCCTTAGCCCAGGAGGTAGAGGCTGCAGTGAGCTGTGATCATGCCACTGCACTCCAGTTTGGGCAACAGAGACTGATTTAAAAAAATAAAAATAGCAAATAAACAAGCTAATAAAAACCAAGATTGGCTGGGCGCCATGGCTCACACCTATAATCCCAGCACTTTGGGAGGCCAAGGTGACAGGATTGCCTGAGCCTGCAGGTTGGAGACCATCCTGGGCAACTTGGTGAGACCACATCTCTGCACATAAATCAAAAAATTAGCCGGGCATGGTGGTGCATGCCTGTAGTTCAGCTACCTGGAAGGCTGAGGCGGAAGGATGGCCTGAGTCCAGCAGGGTAAAGCTGCAATGGCCATGAGTGTGCCACTGTACTCCAGCCTGGGCCACACAGTGAGACTCTTAACTCAAAAAAACCACCAAAAAACAAAAAAACAACAAAGTCTGGGCTCGGTGGCTCAGCCTGTAACCCCAGCACTTTGGGAGGCCGAGGTGAGTAGATTGCCTGTTGCCTGAGCCCGCGGGTCAAGACCCATCCGGGCAACTTGGTGAGACTGTGTCTCTATAATAAAATCAAAAATTAGCCAGGCATGGCAGTGCACGCCTGTAGTTCTGACTACTTGGAAGGCTAAGGCTGAAGGACTGCCGGAGTCCAGCAGGTCGAGGCTGTGGTGGCTGGCAGCATGACACCACACTCCAGTCTAGGCGACAGAGTGAGACTCCAACTCAAAAAAAAAAAAAAAAAAGGTTGACATGTCAATTATAGTGGTTTCTACTACTCAGGCCCGAAATTGCAGCTCACTGTAGCCCCGACCTCCTCAGCTCAGGTGATCCTTCCACCCCAGCCTCCCAAGTAGCAGGGAGTACACGGTACACATCGCCATGCCTGGCTAATTTCTAAAATTCATTAAAATTTTGAAACTAGGTATCAGTTACATGATTAAATATATTACATATATATGTATGCAAGTAGACAGATAAATATTTTTGTACTAGGTATGTCGGATATCTTTTTTTTTTTTTTGAGTTGCAGTCTCACTCTGTAGCCCAGGCTGGAGGGCAGTGGCACACTCCCGGCCACCGCAGCCTTGACCTGCTGGGCTCTGGCGATCCTTCCGCCCCAGCCTTCCAAGTAGCTGGAACTACAGGCACACGCTACCACGACCGGCTAATTTTTTGATTTATTGTAGAGATGAGGTCTCGCCAAGTTGCCCAGGCGGGTCTCGAACCCGCGGGCTCAGGCAATCCACTCACCTCAGCCTCCCAAAGGCGCGGGATTACAGGCTGAGCCACCGAGCCCGGCTATTGGAAAGCTTTAACGAGGGAGGCTATAACAGTCTGAAATAACCTAAATGTCCAATAACAGGAATCGTTGGCACACTACAGAACATAAAATTGCTGCACATCACTCCTATCTACAGAAACTGTCATCACTTGAATACCTGGCTGACATAAACTAAACGATGTGCATTTCGAAAGCAGGAGAAAAATAGCAAATAATGCAGACACCTCCCTCCATTATTTCACTCAACAGACAAAGGACCTGGAGTAAATTGAGAGGCCACAACTCAGTGTCATGACGCTCCTGAGAGCTTCCCACACAGCGAGATTTTCTGAAGGAGTTGAGTGTGATTCGAGGGTTTAAACACACACATTTCTCACTCACCACGGCAAGTCAACTATTCATATGCTGCCGACTGAAAAAACAGTAAGTGGAAGGAATGATGACACATGTTAATTGCTTTCCCACAGTTGACCTTAAAAGTTTAACCTCTTGGTAAGATAAAATTCCACTCGTTTACTACAGCATGCTACTGACACCAATCGTCTGCACTTGTAACTGTGCTTGACGGCTAAAATGATGTTGAAACAGTCTAAAATTATTTTAATCCTTCCAACTATACTGCAGACCCAACAGAACTCAGTTACTGAGCTATCAATCAGATCTCAGCCAAGCGCTCTCTACCCTGGCACTGCGAATACTCATCATTGTACACAGCACATTAATACTCGGCCATCCTCTCCAAGGGAGTCAAGACATGTCTAGAAAGCACTGCTACTTAACATACTTTTGGGTCAGTGAAACCTTGGAAACATCTGATAAAAGTGCTGGACCTCATTATTGAAAAATGCACAGACTCACTCTAGAACACCATTCTTCAAACTGTGGGACATTATAAGCATTTCAGTGTCACACACACAAAAATTATAAAATCAATTTGTTTCAGAACTCTTTTCTTTCAGAAGATATAGCTGCCATATTAAAAAGAAATAAAAAACTATATTTTAAAAGTTAACAAATGGGGTAAACAGGTATTAAGAAGACCAACTACATAACATAAATTATTTTTAGCTTGGGTCACCACTAGTATTTTTGAGGTTATTTACTCAAATGGCTGTTACTTGACCAGAACATTAACTTGTAGGAGGCACCAGGTCTCTCTGGAGTTTGTGTATGCAGAGTCCTACGCTTCATCCCATTACTTTAAGTCAAGCACTTTAATTCATTTACTTGGATTCTCATTAAAGTACATGCGATTACTGACCAAAAGGAGACTTTAAAATAAGTAGCTCTTCAAGCCTGTAATCCCAGCACTTTGGGAGGCCTAGGTGAAAGGAATGCCTGAGCCCAGGGTTTCGAGACCAGCCCAGTCAACTTGGTGAGACCTCGTCTCTACAATAAATCAAAGAATTAGCTGGGCACGGTTACGCGTGCCTGTAGTTCCAGCTACTTGGAAGGCTGAGGCGGAAGGGTCGCCTGAGCCCATCAGGTCAAGGTCAAGGTGGCAGTGGCTGGGAGACTCCAACTCAAAAAAAAACCAGCTCTGCAGAGATTTAGTTCACATACCATACACTTCACCCACTTTAAGTATACAATCCAATGGTTTTTAGTATATTTGCATACATACGCAACCCCCAAACCCATCAATTTTAAAACCTTTTCGTCACCTCAAAAGGAAACCCTGTGCCCCAGCTATCACTCTCTTCTCCCTGCATTCCCACCCCCCCACCTGCCTGTCCCTAAAAGTCCTCAGGAGCCACTAATCTCTAGATTTTCCTGTTCAGAAGATTTCTTACAATAGGTTCAACAATAGCTGTCTGACTCACTAAAATAATACAAGCTGGTACAAGTACCAAGAGTATGTGTAATATTCTCAATTTTGGATAGATTCTTTCTGAATTCACACTATTTCTTCTATTCCTATACCAATTTTTTTCACCCAAAGAAAATGCACTAGTTCCAAGGTGTTACAAAAAAAAAACTAATACATCTATTATATTCACAGTTTAAGAAAGTTTATTTTTGTTTTTGTAGAAACAGAGTCTTGCTATGTTGACCAGGCATAACTGAACTCCTGGCCTCAAGCAATCCTCCTGTCTCACCTTCTAAAAGTCTTGAGATTATAGGTGTGGGCCACCATGCCCGGCCACAATTTTTTAAGTTTGCCAGGCACATACTACAGCATATTATAGGTTTTTACAGAGTAGATTACTTTTACTTGTAGGTCACAGAGGAAATTACACAATTGATTTGATATGAAATTTATGAACTTTAACAGAACCTAGATTTCCTTAATAGGTGCTAGAAATATGCCCATGTTGATTTAAGGGAAAAAATTTATTAGAGCTGAAGGGAAATAAAAAAGCAGAGATGGATCCAGTGCTCCTCTTTCCATTAAAAACAGTGAAGGAGAGCGAGGAATAAAGAACCAAGTTTTATTAGAATGTCAACAACTATTTTGGAGGTGAAAGATTTAATTTCTGCCCAGGCCACTTGATCTAAATTTACCAATTTGTAAGTTGAGAAGACCAAACTAACGTGGCTACACATCTAAGACTGTACAACTACTATTTATAAATCCAAGTTCTTATAAGTGGAAAATGTAAACCTGGTGCTATAATTTTAAAACTGTGGTCTCTAGGGCTGAGAAGAGACTAACTACAAATGGGAGGAAAAGGAGACTTGGGGGGAAAGATGAAAAGGTTCTCAGTTTTTATTGTGGTAGTGATTATATGACTGCAGACATTCATCAAAGCTCAGCAAGCTATAGTTAAAAACAAAAACAAAAAAACTCTTTTTTTGAGTCAGGGCCTTGCTATGGTATACAGGCTGGTCTTGAACTCCTGGACTCAAGAGAACTCCTGCTTCAGCCTCCTGAGAAGCTGGGATTACAGAAGTGTACCACCATACCCCAGTGTGAATGTTATTTTAAGTTAAATTAAACCTGATTAAAACAAAACAACAGTTTAATCCTTTAAACAGAATCTTAATCCATTTTATTAAAAATTCAACTTATTCTGAATTTTTTAATTCCCTCAAAACATTTAGATACATACCTGTATGGTGTGCAGAGCTTAAACCTTCATTCTGTGGACCATTCTCACGTTTAGTCCTATCAACAACTTTCTGGCATGCAGTGTCTCCCTTATTCAATTCTTCGTTTTCACTTGCAGTGTGATTTGTTTTTTTCACACCGCATTTCACACTGCATATGCTTCTCCGATAACAAGGGTCACTTTCTTCCTGTCCCGCGATCGAATCAGTTACAGCTATGCAATGTTTCTTATTTAGCATCTTCTTAATTACAGGCTTGGCTGAAGAGTTTTGTGAACCACTGTCCATTTCACTGGCTGGAGGAGAAGAAATACAACGGTCCTCTACAGCTGAACACTTTTGTACGACTGCATTTTCATGGTAATGAGGATTAGGTTCATACTTTGGTTTTTCCAAACCAGGGAAACAAACAACAGCCAAAAACCAGTGTGCACTGCAAAAAACAAATGAAACTACTAAATATATTATTAGAAAAGTTTATTATATTTGGCAACACATATCAACTGAAATGTTTTTTCCTGAAGTTTTTGCAAACATTTATTAAGAATACCCAATTTTTGCAGTTCTTAATCTACTTGTTTACATGGTTATTGATTCATCATGAACAGAATATAAAGTCTGTTCAAAAGTAACAGATTATGCATCCTGCATTCCCTTTTGCAAACAATCTTTTAAAGCTCTTCTTGTTTTTAGGATTAAAAATTCACTGTTTTTTCTGGCAATTATGGCGCCTTGCAATTCATCTTCCCCATCTGCCTTGCCTTTGCCCCATTTATGCAAAAGGGAGAAAGCCATCTAGATCTAAGACTAAAGAGTCTTCAGAGGTCTAACTAGACTGTATAATTTTCTACATTTTCTAAGTGTTATACATACAGTCGTTTCAGAAATTTTATTGTTTGTCTTTTTATTAATAAAGGTAGGAAGGCCTTAATATTGAAAACATATATATGCATTTTGTCTCATGCTATATTGAAATGCAACACACAAAAAAAGCAAGTCTAATCCAGTAATTTTTAGAAAAATTCAAACATTTGTAAGGTGTTCCAGCTATCAAATAGATACTCAAAATACAGCTGATTTCAGGTATCACAGTTCCAAAATGAATAGACCATAAGAAGCTGTACACTTTTGATTAATACCCATTAAACTATCATTTTTAATGGGCCAACTATTTGTTGGACACAGTGCTATGTGCTGAGATACAACAGGTATAGATGTCAGAGAGCTTATTAGTCAAGTGCAGTAATATCTGTCATATGATAGAAATATTTGCTGACTGAAAAAAAAATCATGACATGGAAAAAAAGTTATTCTACAGTCTCATTCTGGAAAATGCAGAAATAGCACTATCTATTTCTTCATCAGCCAGCATCTGACAGAAGGTACTCAGTACTCTAAAGGCAGGATGGATTAGGGCTTTTCCTGTTCTTAATCATTAACCTGCAGTATGGACTTAGGTCAGGCAAGAGTAGTAGAACGAGAACGCCAACTTCCTCATTTCATCAACTTTAACACACAGCTGACTATAAGTCACATCAACTTTAGAAATGTGGCTGGGTGTGGTGGCTCATCCCTGTAATCCTAGCACTCTGGTCGAAGCAGTAGGACTGCTTGAGCCCAGGAGTTCAAGTTCAGCCAGGCAATATAGCGAGACCCTGCCTCTACAAAAACATCAAAAAGTTGCCGCGTGTGGTAGTATGTTCCCATAGTCCCAGCTACTTGGGAGCCTGAAGCAGAAGGATCGCCTGAGTCCAGGAGGCTGCGGCTGTGGTGAGTCGTGATCCTGCTGCCACATTCCAGCCTGGGAGAACACAGTGGGACTCCGATTAAAAAAAAAAAAAACATCTGCACCACCAGAAAAGTTAAAACAGATGACAAATACACGGCAGCCTATCTAATATAATTAGTGTATATAAGTATCTGTGGCTTTACCTCCTCAAAAAAACCAAAACCCGAACAAGCCCTCTTGACTCACAGGCCATTTTTCCATCCATAAATGGTGCAGCCCTCTTGCCGAGTCTTTCCTGGCCCTACATCTGTGTTCATGCAAGTACTCTCTGTCACAGACACGGATACAGGGATGGGCCTCTATCCCTGAACTGTGTGTACTCAAATTAGATCTCTACTAGTTCAACTTTTTATAGTTCATTTCTGAAAAATGGCGTTCCTCCCCTTCATCCAGTAGGCAGCACGCTTACTACTTACAAATTAATGTCAAGAAACCTTCTTTTGAGGAGAACACAGAAATTAACGCTTCGTTTTAAAATGGTTTTCAATTTTGCTATGATAACATGAATTTAAAAATACAGCTTTGCTGGGCATGGTGGCTGTAATCCCAGCTACATGGGAGGACAAGGCGGGAGGCTCACTTGAGGCCAAGAGTTGGAGACCAGCCTGAACAACACAGCAAGACCCTATCACTAAAATAATAATAATAATATTTTTGAAAAAGAAAAAATATGCAGCTTTGAAGAAGTTGTGGTTTACAGCCATAACCAATATTTTGGCCTACCTACCGATCTTTGGCTAGGCTAATTAGAGTACAGGTCCCATGCTTAAAATATGATTTTAAATAAACACAGTCTGGTTGTAATATAGAGTAAACTCGGTTTCCACAATGAGAAAGGAAAAAAAAGAGCACATTCAGAAATTTGCCTGGCACAGCTAGGCTTATCTAGACATAAACAATAGACTACCAACCTCAGACAAGATTACTCTGTGACCATGATAAAATGAGACAAAGTAAGGTCATTTCATAATCTGTCCAAGCAAAGGAAAACATAAAGCAATAGGCAAAACCCACAAAGAGCCAACAACCGCCACTTAAGTGAACGCTACCTCTTTACCCAAGCAAATCACTACTACCTTAGAACTACCTCCAAATAACCAAACCAAAGCCCAAACTCTGATACAGCTTTATACTGTGAGGCCCCAGTGTGTGTTATTCCTTCATGCAAATAATAAACCCATGTTGTCAAACTACAGGTATTCCTGGTGGTCTTTGGATGGAGAGCATAGGAAAACAAAAAAATAAAATACAAAAAATTCTCAAGTCTTCACTGTATAATGATACTATAATCCATGGTCACCGGGAGAGAATAATATAAATATTAAGCACCTCCATTTACTTAGAAAACTGTTTCAAGTAGCCAGTATGGTCTTCAATTTATTCAAGTGGTATAAATCCAAGCATCTTTTCTATTTTTTGGTTAAGAGTAAAAATGTGTTTTAAATTCAAGATTCAGTTCTTTTATATGACCTAACTATCTTGCGTGTGTGTGTGTGTGTGTGTGTGTGTGTGTGTGTGTGTGTGTGAGAGAGAGAGAGAGAGAGAGAGAGAGAGAGAGAGAGAGACTTGGAGTCGCACTCTGTCGCCCAGGATGGAGTGCCTCGACCTGCTGGGCTCTGGCGATCCTTCCCCTCAGCCTTCCAAGTAGCTGGAACTGCAGTCAAACACCACCATGCCCTGCTAATTTTTTGATTTATTGTAGAGAGGAGGTCTTGCCAAGTTGCTCAGGCTGGTCTCGAACCTGTAGACTCAGGCAATCCTCTCGCCTCAAACTCCCAAAGTGCTGGGATTACAAGTATGAACCACCACGCTGGACTAATTATCTTTTTGTATAAAGTAAACTTTTCTACTATAGGATATTTGCTAGACCACGAGAACAACTGGTGATTTTTAAGTATTATTCCACATTGGCCAATAAAATAAAATTGGCAAGGTATTTGGTCTAGTGTTTGTAAAATTCAACACCTTACACGATTTTACTGGGAAACAATTTTCATAAAACAGGCTGTAAAAATATGAACATATACAATAAATTTCAGAAATAAGTTTTAAAAAGGGTGAATTCTTTACCTCATTCACTCATTTTAAAAAAATGACATCACATTTACATAAAGAAATTCTTACTCACGCTTCATTAAGGGGTACAAAAATAAAATCCTTCTCAAAAATATCTACATGCCGGGTCCATGTTTTTACTCTCCCATGTCGCTTCTGCTGTATTCTGTAAGAAGGAGATAAATGATGAGCTTCTGAATTATGACTAGTGTTCCAGTTTATATGCAGCGTTCTATAAATTATGAACTTCAGATGTCACAGCTCAACAGTTGTATAAAATGACATGACAAGCTGGGGAAAGAAAATAGAGCACCTTAGGCGGACCAAGGAAGCTGTGGGCTCCCCCCGTCACTGAATCTGGAGAAAAGAGATACTCAATTCCTGCTGCCACCTCTGAGGGTTTCCAGTACGTGTCTTGCCTAGGTTTCTCCTTTTACTATTTATTTGTATTACTACAAAACTGGTACTGGCAACTACACGGAATACATTGAAAGGGTGAATCACAGCATGACTTATGGTGACCGGGGAGAGGACGGCAGGAAAAGTGAGCATTATCTGATGGTAGTTGGAGCAGTATAGATGACGAGAACTGGCCAAAATCAAAGACTGCTATCAACTCTAAGATGCAATAGTGGGACCTGATGTCACAGTCGAAAATATTACTTATATTATGCATAGCAGTCATCAGTTCAAGACATGTAACAGTAGTTAATAAAAAAATGTACCAACTCTTAAGTGTATCTTTGACTAATTACGAGCAAAAAACCAGAGCTGGATGCCATCACTGTATGGAGAGCAATTATAAAGAAAATAACTTGGGTCTAATAAGTAGAATAGCATTTTCTTCATTTGTCTGAGAACAATCATCCAAAGAGCTTATTAAAAGATTCAGGTGGAGGCGAGAGGATTGCCTGAGCCCAAGTGTTCGAGACCAGCCCGGGTAACTTGGCAAGACCTCATTTCTACAATAAAAAAATTAGCTAGGCATCGTGGTGCGGTGGGCCTGTAGTTCAGGCTACTTTTAGGGCTGAGGCGGAAGGATAGCCTGAGCCCAACAGATCGAGGCTGCAGTGACCAGGAGCGTGCCACTACACTCCAGCCTGGGCAACAGAGTGAGACTCCAACTCAAAAAAAAAAAAAAGAAAGTACAGATTCATAGGATCTTCTCCCAAATATTATAAATGGAACATTTAGGATAAAACACAGCAATCTGTATTTAACAAGCATAATCTAACTTTTAAAAAAGCCTCCTTATTATTCATATTTGGCAATACTGTTCCAGATATTTGACCTAGAACACTTATGAATTCCACGTATTCTGATGTTAGATTATGAACGACATTAATTTTGCAAACTTATAATAGAACTAAAGGATGTTGCCTTAACATAAATAAGTAATTTAAAAAATACACCCGAATAAGCACACGATTCATTTAATGAGCCAGTAAAGAATGAAAATAAACCTGATTGATTTGGTGTGTCCCCTTCGTGGCTCCAGAATTTTTAAAATAAGCATGTGAGTTGTAGAAATGTGTTTTCTTTCAAATATGTGATTTTTCCCTTAGTTTTATTTGAGTGACTTACTATATTTGTTAAGTTATTTTCAGAGTCTGACTTACGACAGATTAGTTGTTTCATGATTTCTCCTTTCTCTCTGATTAAGGCGTTTATAGAAAAAAGAACTGAATATATGAATTCGGTCGGCATCTTCTTTCTTCAGTTTTTCAAGCACCAAATATCTATTTTATACAAAAATAATCCAAGCATAATGAATGTAACAGTTCACGTTATATTAAAACAACCAGTCAAGCAGTGATCAAATATCTAGCCACCACCATCAATCTCTATTCCTTAGAACTGAAAGAAGTTATTTGAAAAGTTTACTTCATATCCTCCAAACAATCATAATACAAGATGATCTTCAGGCAATGAAAAGTAGTATTTCAATCAGCTGGGTGTGGTAGCGCATGCCTGTAATTCCAGCTACTTGGAAGGCTGAGGTGGAAGGATCACCGGAGCCCAGCAGGTCGAGGCTGCGGTGGCCGGGAGTGGCCACTGCACTCCAGTCTGGGCGACAGAGCAAGACTCCAACTCAAAAAAAAAAGAAAAAAAAAAAAGAAAAAAAAGAAAACTAGTATTTCACAGCAAAATTATTACTTCAAAGACCCAATGTCTTAAAACGAGGGTGTAACCGAATCAAGAGTGAAGTAAGCATGTGTTCCCACATAAACATTCACAGCGGCATCATTCATAGTAGCCAAAAAGCATAAATGACAAAAATGCTCAACAAATGATGAATGAAAAAATAAAATGTGTTATATTCAAACAGTGAAATATCATTCAGCAATAAAAAAGTGAAGCGCGAATACAGGGAAAACATGCTAAGTGAAAGAAGGCACCCATAAAGGACCACATATTGTCTGGTTCTATTTATATAGAATGTCCAGAATATAAAAATCCACAGAGACAGGAGACTGGTGGCTGCATAGGACTTTAGGGGAAATGGGGAGTGACTGCTAATGGGCACTGGGTTTCTTTTGGGGGCAATGAAAATGTTCTAATGTTGCCTGATTGAACTTCTGTATATACTTAATACCACTGAATTGTATACTTTAAACGGCTGAACTCTATGGAATGTGGATTACATCTACATAAAACTATCACAATATTATTTACTTCATTTTAAACAGTTCAGTTAATAAACCATAAGGACTTAGACAACACGTACGTTTTATGAAAACAGAAGAATTTGTAGAGGTGAGGTTAAAACAATGACTCTTTAATGATCTTACGTGGGTTCTAATTTTTCCCTGCCTTATTTTGTTCTACAGATCTACATCAAACACACAGCAATGGTTTTTTTTATATCACAGAGGGAAAGTATGATACATTAAATTTAACTGCTTATGTTCCAAACTTTCTCATAAAAACTAAGCGAATTCAAGCTTATGACCACATTCATTTCATCAAAATGAGGAGTCTGAAAGCCTGTGAAATCTTACACAGAAAACGGCAAACACTAAAGAGGTTTGACCCCACAAAGAGCACATTCTTGAGGCCTGCTACTTTTATCATTAACACTTGGTAATTCCAAAGCTAAAGTTCTAATGAAAAGGACATAAACCATTTTTTGCATGCAAGGCAACTCAATGTGCCACTATAAAAGATATCAAGAGACAGCAAATCAACTCAAGACACAGTTCAAATTAACTCCTGAATTCTACAACAATATACTCAAAACAGAAAGTGAAGTGAACTAGTCGAGTAAGGGCTATACCGTAATGGTTGAACCACGCTACTTTTGCTGGCTCAAACTGCAACGGGTTTAAGTTCAGCTTGTAAAATTGAACTGAATAAATAATGTGATATTCAACTTAAAAAGAGTTATTTGTAGCTTAAGAAAATCAACTTTCTACTTCATAATATAACAGATGCATGCCTTTTAAAGTAACTGTTTTGTTTTGCTTTTTTTCTTTCTGATACACATCCGTAAGATTCCTGTTGGTGGGGTGTAGTGGCTCATGCCTGTAATCCAGGCACTTTGGATGGCTGAAGTGGGAGAACTGCTTGAGTCGAGAGTTTGAGACCAGCTTGGTCAACATAATGAGATCTCATCTCTACCAAAAAATAAAAAAACTAGCCAGGCATGGTGGCGTGTGCCTATAGTCCCAGCTACTTAGGAGGCTGAGGCAGAAGGATGGATGAGCCCTGCAGGTCGAGGCTGCAGTGAGCTATGATTGTGCCACTGCAATCCAGCCTGGGCAAAAGAGTGAGACCTTGACTCAAAAAAAAAGGTCTGTGACTACAGTTCTAGATTTTTAAAATGTACATGTGTTACAGCTATTACTTTTTAATAGGAACAATCATATCTCTTAGAATTAAAGGAAAAATCCAAGTTTATTACCAAAATTTGCAGGAATTTCTCCCATCTGGGTGTTTTCGTTAGTGTATACATCATTTAGCTATGAATGTTGTGGTAAAGCTGTCCACTTACTTTTTCATAAAATGGAAACTAATAACACCATGCTTTCTTTATTATAAGATGAAGTTTAAAAATGGCTTTATTCGGACCTTGAACAACTATTGCAGCACTATAATGAAAGGAATTGGCAGTAGTGGACAACTGCGGGGGTGAGGAGGGCAACGACACACACCTCATCAACAAGGGTACATCAAGGGTACCTGCATAATGAACACTTGTATACTTAACCCTGAACCCCACATATTTAAAATAAAATTTTTTTTAGAGAGACTTTATTTAAAACTCTGTAATTTGTAGTGTAGAAATACAGAAGAATGAGTAACTCTAGTAGCAGCAGTTACTCATTTTAATGGTGAAGTTAAACAGTTTGCTCTTTTAAATTCACCTCTAAGAATGTCATAAGACAAATGTAAACACAGGTTTTTTCTTTTAAATCATGGATTTTCTTAGGTTCCCCTTATTACTTGGTATGTGCATCAGAGAAAACAGACTTTGCAAATATTATACGTTTACTATATAAAATTAGTTTTAATGTGTACTTGTAAAATATGAAGGAGCCTCCTAAAAAATACAAAGAATAGTCAGGATTTTAAACAAGAAACATTATAAAAAGCAGACAATAAAATCTCTACTATACAAAATACAGATTACTTATACAGACTAAAATGTAAACAGAAGGAATTTTCATTTTATTAAGATTTAGCTATATGCTTTCAAAAACAAAACATCATTTTAAATAGGATAACTTAAATAGGTTACAACTAAATGCAAATCAAGAGAAAGTATAACTAGCTATATTCACCTTTAAAAGTAGACTTAAGGACAAGGAAGATGATCAAGGATGAAGAGGGACATTACGTAAGGATGAAGTGGCAATTCTCAAAGACATAAATATGTATGTGCCTAACGAAAGAGCTTCAAAAGGCCTGCGGCAAGCATGGACCAAGATTTGATAGGAGAAACAAATCCATAATTATACTGGAGATTTCAACAACCTTTTCTCAAAAATTGATAGAACAGAAAATCAGTAAGGATAAAGGATATGGACAGAACCTTCCACCAACTTTATCTAATTGACATTTCCAGAACACTCCCCATCTAAAAACAGCGCTGTGTTCTGCACGTTCACGTCAGGCTTTTTGGTAGCTTGGTTGTTAGGGCAACACACATTAGGACCGAGAGATAATATTTTAGAATTGTGGTAAAAAAACTTTTATCAACTTCGTCATTTTGAGTGTATAGTTCAAAAGTAAAATTACAAAACAGACCTCCAGAATCTTCTCATCTTGCAAAAGTGAAACTCTTTCTCTATTAAATGATAACTCCCTTATACCTCCTCCCCCTAGTTTGATAACCCCAAGTTCTATTTTGTTTCTATGAATATGACTACTTTAGATACCTCATGCAAGTGGAATCATACAGTATTTAACCTTTTGTGGCTCACTTATTTCACTTGGCACAATGCTCTCAAGAGTCATCCATGTTGTAGCACAGGACGAGATTTCCTTCCTTTTAAAGGATGAGTAACGTTCTAGTACATGTACAAACCACATTTTATTTATTCTCTCATCAAAGGACAGTCGGGTTGCTTCTACCTTTCAATGATTGTGAGTACAGTCTTGCCACAAACACAGGCATGCAAGTATCTCTTCAAGTCTCTGCTCTGAACCCTTTTGGATACAGACTTGTGCTCTGTTCAACAACGGGGACATGTTCTGAGAGATGCATCACTAGGCAGCTTAGTATTGTGCGCCACAGCGTGTGCTGACATAATCCTAGAAGGGAAGCTTACTACACACCTGAGCTGCATGAAATAGTCCAGGGGTCCCCAACCCCTGGGACACAGACCAGTTAGGAACCCGGCCGCACAGCAAGAGGTGAGTGGTGGGTGGGCGGGCGAGTGAGTCACATTTCATCTGTATTTACAGCCACTCCTCATCACTTCCGTTACTGCCTGAGGTCTGCCTCCTGTCAGATCAGCAGCAGCATTCGATTCCCATAGGAACAAGAACCCAAATGTGAACTGCGCCTGCATGCTCCTTATGAGAACCTAATACCTGATGATCTGGGGTGGAGCTGAGGCGATGATGTTAGTGCTGGGAGCGGCTGCAAATACAGATTAACATTAGGTTTGACCGCACAGACACCATAATAAATCAACTGCTGGCAGACTCCTATCAAACCCTGTTAGTGCATAGCAAGTGAGGTGATGGACTTCAACAGGACCTCATCTGGTGGCAGGCTTTAAATCAGATTTGACATTTCTTTTAGTCTGCACATGGCTTGCCCATTATTTTATTTACAGCCTCCATCTGCCTGTTTCCTGCACTGCACACTTATCTCAGTCACAGTTTTGGTGAGCCCACAAGCTAACCCTCACCAAAACGAGTAAAAAAAGGTTAGCAGAGAGCTTCTTTGAAGAGGGAGAAAGACTCAGTGATGAGACAGCAGGAGGCTCTAAGATTTCCAACAAAAAGAAAGCAGCATTTAAAAGAAAATACCGAGAGTCCTACTTAGAGTCCTACTTAAATTACGGGTTCATTGCAACAGGCGATTCACATTCTCCAAGCCTACTTTGTTAATAAATGGCGACCAGCTATCCAATGAAGCCATGAAACTTTCCAAACCGCTTTGCCATATGGAGACCAAGCACCCTGCGTTAAAAGACACGCCTTTAGCTGGCTCGGTGGCTCAGCCTGTAATCCCGCGCCTTTGGGAGGCTGAGGTGAGTGGATTGCCTGAGCCCGCGGGTTCAAG